GTCATGATAGACGTTTATTACACAGGCGCCTGTGTAATAAAGCCTCGAGCGCGGAGTAATTCATAGTTTTTATCCCTCGCACTCATCGACTATGTCCTCGTCAACCGCTTCATCCACAAACACGCATAGTCGATTGGAGTCGTTGTTTGCAGGCTCGTATTTACAAAACTGTTCTGTAAATATGAACATCACCAACCCTGGGACTCAGCCTTTCCGCCGTCGTCCACGTGTGATTGAAAGTGACAGTGACTAACTTTCCTCCTGTCGGTATGGCGCGAAATGTGTGACGTAAGTGACGTCATCTCACAAGCAAACCAAGAATTCCATTCATAAATGTGTAAGATTTATACCTTACCTTATGTTACCTTATGTTGTCTCTGCCCGCAGGACCTGTTGGTCCTCTATAGGCAGCTCAAAATTGTCATTACGTCGGTTTAATGTCCTTCCGGTGTCTTTATCTGGTCCATATCTTACTGTATAATTAAACCTCAATGGATGTCTTTCCCAGTATTTGTCAAGCCTGTTTTTGAATTGGTTTGTTGTGGTAGCTGTAACAACTGTGTCAGGGAGGCTGTTCCAAGTGTCCACTACCCGATGAGAAAAGCTGTACTTCCTAATGTCCTTAACACAATGTTGTTTAGTTAACTTAAGTGAGTTTCCCCTGGTGTTGCTGGTCATGTTTAAATTCAGTATTTTCCTGGTTACTTTTTGGTCGTATATTCCCTTCAATATTTTAAACACCTCGATCATATCCCCTCTCATTCTTCTAAATTTCAACGATGGTAGTCCTAGGTGATTCAGTCTTTGTTCATAATCTAGGTTTTTTAGCTGTGGTAACATTCTTGTTGCCCTCCTCTGGACGTTTTCGAGTAATTCTATATCTTTTATCTTGTGGGGTGACCATACTGAGCTTGCATACTCCATATAGGGTCGGACTAGTGCCTTAAATAGTAAACAGAATGTCCTGTTATCAAGGTAAATGAATTAGTCCTACTATCTGGTTAGCTTTGTTCACCTGGGTCTGTATATGTTTTTCGAATGTGAGGTGTTTATCAATGGTAACTCCAATGTCCTTTTCACTGTCCACGTTCTCTAAAATCTTACTTCCTCCTCCCTCTTTGCGCATACTGTACTCTGCTTCTTCTACCTGTTTTCCTTTGTTATGAATGGATAGGACCTTGCACTTATCCGGATGAAACTTGAGCAACCATTTCTCACTCCATTGGTATAATTCGTCCAGATTCTTCTGAAGAGTAGCTTCTTATCTTATCTTATAAGATTATCTTATAATCTTATAAGATTACTATTGACAGTAAAGTAGTATTAATAACTTGATCAGCATGTTCAAAGATGTTAAATGTGTTTATGATATATTATACATTGAACAATAGTAGATATTAAAAAGAAAAGTGTTGTTTTATTGCGTGTTTTAAGGCACTATATTTGAACGCGTACGCATGTCTCTGGGTAACATATTTGACATGGTATTTGACCCGGCCCGCTTGAAGAAAAAAGAGTTAAACGCTGACGTTGGATGTTTACATTCACAGTCCATATTATGTTTTCGACCGCAAACATAGTTTACAAAATTCGGGGATGGAGAATCTATTTCAGCAATTTTTTATGTATATAACCCAAGGAAAAAAAATAGAATTCTGAAAAATGGCGGCGTCCAGTGCTAGCTACCGCGAGGTGAGTGCAAATATTTGATAATATGAGATTAGAAATGAGAGAAAAAAACTCTTTTCTATATGGGTAATCCTACATACCCATAAAGAAAAAAGTCTTATAATCTCTTGAAATGATGAACTTGAGTTTTCGTTACGTAAAACTTTCTTTAAAAAAGTCAGAACATGTATTTTTGATAAAAAAAAAAACAACAACATAGAATTCAAATAAATGTATGTTTCAATAACTTAATACAGATTATTTCAAATTACTTCAAGTACCTTATTAACATTTTTATACAAGTATACATGTAATAACCTTGACGTTCCACCATACACCCATATCACTGGTCTGCATTCAATTCGTATAAATACACAAAAATCGATGCCAAAAAAACTTCACCTGGAAGTAATACTAACGACACGCTCAATCATGTTTTTTGGAATCCGGAGCTCGAGCGATTTTATATAGGTATCTTCTAGATCTAACTTGTATTAATTACAGAATGAAACAAATAACAATTGGAGTCCTGAGAGTAAACGTGGGAGTGGTTCAGCGATTGACTTATCTACAACATTACGTCTGCATTATTCCGATAGTCTGTATTTATATAGTTAATTTCCTCTGAATCGTTCAGCATTCTCGTGACGTTGTTACGGTCACACAGCTCTAACTGCCATTGTTGACCTAAAATTCTACAAAGAGCATACATAATCATAAGCAATGAAGACTAGAGTCCGTCTGGACATTTTTACATTTTATGTACGAATTATTATTATTATTATTATGTTTATTCAGGCAAAGGCATAATAAAATTACACATTACAAATATCACATTACATAAGCAATTCCATAACAATTAAAATCAGTAATAAATTATTGTGGATTTCTTAATATATTATTAATTATAAAATATAAGATATCACAGAAGAATTTCACATACCTTAAAATATCACAGTTTTTCTGGCAGAAATTAAATTACACTGTGCTTGCAGATATATTATGAAAAATTTTATCAATAAAAAAGAGAGAAATTTGATAAAACCACGTTGAAAATGCCTTTGGCCTTGGATTACCCATAAAGCCTATATATTATGTTTTTTATTGGGGTCCCTCCTTTACCACGTTTGTGGCAGTCTAGATATATTATGCATTTTTTATAAATGAAACAGAGCCCTACATTTGAAAGAAAATTACATTTACATAGCAGATATGAAAACATATATTGAAAGTGAATAAAATGTTTTGGCACATTTCAGGCCCTCCTTTACCACGTTTTGGCAGTATTGCATAGATATATATTATGTAATTTTTACCCGTTCAACCAGACGCAAAGCCTCCTTTACCAGGGGTTGTCAAATTCGCCTTTTGATTTAGCATCAGAAATTGTTTGGCAGTTTTTAGATATATTATGTTTTTATTTCGGCCCTCCTTTACCACGTTTCTGGCAGTCTAGATATATTATGTTTTTTATTTCGGCCCTCCTTTACCACGTTTCTGGCAGTCTAGATATATTATGTTTTTTATTTCGGCCCTCCTTTACCACGTTTCTGGCAGTCTAGATATATTATGTTTTTTATTTCGGCCCTCCTTTACCACGTTTCTGGCAGTCTAGATATATTATGTTTTTTGTTTCGGCCCTCCTTTACCACGTTTCTGGCAGTCTAGATATATTATGTTTTTATTTCGGCCCTCCTTTACCACGTTTCTGGCCCTCCTTTCCCACGGTTCTGGCCCTCCTTTCCCACGTTTCTGGCAGTCTAGATATATTATGTTTTTTATTTCGGCCCTCCTTTTCCACGTTTCTGACCCTCCTTTACCACGTTTCTGGCAGTCTAGATATATCATGTTTTTATTTCGGCCCTCCTTTACCACGTTTCTGGCAGTCTAGATATATCATGTTTTTTATTTCGGCCCTCCTTTACCACGTTTCTGGCCCTCCTTTCCCACGTTTCTGGCAGTCTAGATATATTTTTGTTTCCACTTCAGCTCTCCCTTTAGCTGTTGTAGTTCCGTCATCTCGTTCCGGAAGTAGTAAGAGTACCTGGACTGCTCTATCTGTGACAATAGCTGCCGTACACTTTGTAGGTGCTTGTTTCCAAGGGCGAACTTGATATCTAAAATATACACTATCTTTTATTTATGTTTAAATGTACTTTGTTTACTAATGATCAGCAACATTTAGGTGTTGGTATTTTTGTTACTTTTTAATTAGTATAAACAAAGATGGTAAATTGTTGCCAAAAGAGCCCCTTTAAAGGATGGTTGTAAATGTTAACAAGTGAACGCTTTCAATTCAATTTGCGTTATTGATAAAACGAACAACGTGCCACATAACGTTTATTTACATCTCAAAGAATTTTTAGATAATGCTGTTTCAGGTAATGGATTTATCGCCTACGTAACAAATGCTGTCTTCAGTAATGTCGCTTGTGGGCTGTCTTCTGTAATGTCGCTTATGATCTGTCTTCAGTAATATCGCTTATGAACTGTTTTCAGTAATGTCGCTTATAAGCTGTCTTCTGTAATGTGGCATATGATCTGTCTTCAGTAATGTCGCTTGTGGGCTGTTTTCAGTAATGTCACTTATGAACTGTTTTGAGTAATGTCGCTCATGAACTGTTTTCAGTAATATCGCTTATGAGCTGTCTTCAGTAATGTCGCTTGTGGTCTGTCTTCAGTAATGTCGCTGATGAGCTGTCTTCAGTAATGTCGCTTATAAGCTGTCTTCAGTAATGTCGCTTATAAGCTGTCTTCAGTAATGTCGCTTATGAGCTGTCTTCAGTAATATCGCTTATGAACTGTTTTCAGTAATGTCGCTTATAAGCAGTGTTCTGTAATGTGGCATATGATCTGTCTTCAGTAATGTCGCTTGTGAGCTGTTTTCATTAATGTTACTTATAAGCTGTCATCAGTAATGTCGCTTATGAACTGTCTTCAGTAATGTCGCTTATGAACTGTTTTCAGTAATGTCGCTTATGAACTGTCTTCAGTAATGTCGCTTATGAACTGTTTTCAGTTATGTCGCTTATGAACTGTCTTCAGTAATGTCGCTTATGAACTGTTTTCAGTTATGTCGCTTATGAACTGTCTTCAGTAATGTCGCTTATGAACTGTTTTCAGTAATGTCGCTTCTGAACTGTTTTCAGTAATGTCGCTTATGAGCTGTCTTCAGTAATGTCGCTGATGCGCTGTCTTAGGTAATGTCGAAGTTTTTCACTACATTAATTTAGTGTTTATGTATTTTGTATCTAGTCTTCGATACTTTATGGTCCACTGAATTCTTTACCAAATGCGGGAAAATTATTTATCCAACAATCATACAAGCATACCTCTGGATAATCGCAGTATCTCGGCCCTGGTGCTGGCGCTATCCACCTCCTCGTCTTCCACTGATATACTATGATATACACATTTCGTGATGGCTGATTCTATTCCATCCAGAGTGCCAGCTTCCAACGCCTGTCGGAGATTTTCTCGAGCCTCTCTTTGTCTCCTGGTCTGAAAGCATAAAGTATTGTTAAATATATACCGTATTCATACCAAAAAAGACATACGGGATCAGACTTAATTCAAACATTCGTGTGCTTCGATAAAAGACATTTGCTAATTATGCACAATATGTTTGATATAATTTGTCAAGATCGTCAAGAACAATTATGGCTGTTGATAACTCTTCAAGTTTTAATTAGCTCACGAGAAGAACATGTGGGTTGGAGATAAAACGGCACATTTTGCTAGTAACACATTAGATAGGAATAAATAGCGGCATTACAGCAGTTAATCCCTTACATGTATCATAGGAGATCTCTCTGGGCTAGAGTTATATCTTACATGTACTTTACTAGATATATCCGGAATACAGTTAAGACCTCATCTGTACTAAAGGAGATATATCTGGGATATAGTTAAGATTTCAACTGTACTATACTGGATATCTTCAGAATATAGTTAAGATCTTACCTGTATTATAGGAAATATATTCTAAATGTAGTATAGGGGATACGTCTGACATAGAATCATATCTTACCTGTACTGGAGGTGGTATATCTGGATTGGAGATTAGTATATAACAGCAGGCTAACTTTGATATCTTGTTGGATAAGCCTTCGTCAAGCGTTGTCCAGATGGACAACATGAACACACCCTCGCCAGGTATTGTCACATCAATGTCAACACAACCCCTATCCCGGTCTACAACACACTTGGTGTCATCGTTATATTCCTTCACCCCAGTTTCGATTGTCTGAGCAAGTTTACAAGTCACCTCAATGCTTTTTACTGTTTCTTTGTCAAGTACAAACGATATCGTGAAAATGCTGTTTACCCTGACAGGGTAATATCCGTTTGAGCGTGATGGCAATAGTAATCCCCCGTCTTTAGCAGCCAATCCGGGACCGAAGCCAACTTCTTTCGGATCTTCAGGAAACATACTACATTTATCAAATCGCTTTTCACAGAGAAGTCGGAATTTGACAATTGGTCCAAAGTCATCACCATTCACACTTGCGTATATCGTTACCTTATATTCTCCCTCAATAGGTAGAGTCATCTGGAACATCCATTTCTCTTTATGCTTCATCATCGCTACAAGTTTCTGAAGGTTTTCGTGGATTATCAGCGTTTGACTGTCTGGATTGTGCTTTCCAGTGCTTTTTGCTATTGTAATATCATACCAAAGATAGATCTCATCGGCAAGTTCCTCCGTGGAAGAAATGTCTATTCTTACTCTACCATCTACAGAATGCAAATTGTACACATTTTCTGACTCTAGTTTTAAACCTAATTCAAAGAATTCACTTCTGAAGAGAGGAAGGTTCATGAATTCCTCTTTCTCTAAAGGGCGTTTAAGCAGTTGCCATTTTGGATCATCTGGGTAAAACCAATAGATACTTTGCTTGGGATTCAGCAAAAAGTAAAAATAGTTAAAAACTGGTCCTTCACCATTATCATCTACTCCGTCTTTAGTCGTTAGTTCTGATGTAAGCCATTCTTTTTTACGTCGTGTGCATACAAAGTACGGCATAATCAACTGCCATTTACCGTCAAGATATACAGCATTCCACGAAGTAGCAGGCAAATCATTGCCACTGTCAGGTTCGTAGCTAATTGTTTTGAATATGCCTGTTATTTCCTTCGATTTAATGCCTGCCTTTTCAAACAAAATTGACAAAAAGCGAGAAAATTCAAACTGTGTGTCGTTACTTAATTTTACGATTCCTTTCGCAGGTGTTTCGTAGTCTGCGGGGCCAGCCAAAGGTGACGTCACATCCTGTCTACTCATCCACAGCATGACAGCACGAGTTTGTGTCAAATCGGGCTGATCTGTATACTCGGTACCCTTCAATAAGTAGTCGATGAGTTGCTTGTAGCTGTCGTTTAAAGTTATTGGTGCCTATAAAACAAATCCCTGTATTGAATATAGCGATGTACCAAAGAATACATATAATGTACATATAAATTTCGGAGTTGTGTTTTTGAATGAGAGTTATCTTTCTTGTTATAACGAGTTTCCCGGAGTTGATAATTTTCAGTATCATTTTCTTAAATCTAATCAACTATTCACCGAAATAAAGAGTTAAGCGGGTTCCGTGGAAAATGCAGATTCAATGTTGTGGAAGTCAGGAGACACACAATACGCAAATGTGACAAATTTATTTCCATGTGTTTTGTGCCTTTAAAGAACATTTTCCAAGTCAATGGATGGAATTGCCACTTGGCAATTCAAAATAAGCCCCACCCCTCCTACTACATATATACAACAAAAAAATCACTTAAATCGAACATTCAATCTATTGTTTGTAGTGTATTACAGTGTATTATAATTTCGGCTATAAGACTGATTCGTAAGAAGAGGACTCTATTTTAAAACAAGTAAATTGTAATGTTTAGTATAACCGTGTGCATTATAGTAGTTATTTATAAAACGCATGTTGAAGGTCGTTATCTTATTCATATGTGGATTTTAAAGCTTTAGAAAGGGTTTTGTATTTAGTGTGAAGCCTTTTTAAACTAATTTATGATATGAATAAAACTTTTATACATGTCCTAGTTAATTATATCTTTTGAATGAGAAGACCGGACATGGTAATTAAACTGATAATTACCCTGATGTATCATGTTTGTAAAGCAGCCATTGTTAGGAGTCGTTATTTACGTGTATACACATACTACACATTCCTGCTTTGGTAACTACCTGAGTTTTCCCCTACCCTACTTCCAAAATCACGTTATTGTTCCCTTCATGTGTTGATAGACCAGGTAACACGTATACATACCTTCTAACAACTAACATATAGTTAACAGTACAAACCGTCACTCGTTATATCATATTTCATCAAGATTATGTCTCCACAAAATTACGTGATGGAACAAACAGTTGTGTGATGCTGTTTAATTCGTTACATTGCTCTATTTTATCTAATGTAATCAAATATCTATTTTTAAGTTTTACTGCCGTCATGATGATGTCGTTGGGGAATATTCTATTGCCTCTTGCGTTATAAAGTAGGACGTCTTTGATACTTTTTATTTTGACTGGTGGTTCCATTGTTTGCCATTTGGTCTTTTCTCAATTGAAAACGTGACATTACTAACTTGGATTGACGAAGATTTACATGGCAGATGTCGTAGGTGAAGCAGAAGACGTTTACTCTTTCGGAACACCTGGTCTTATTCTTCTTGTAATTTTTCTGGAAACTCCCTGTTAATCCTATTCTATTCATATTTTGCCCCAGTTTTATTGAATTTGAGTTTAAATTAAGATTCTCATGACGTGTCAGTATTTTCTTTGTACCTTAAATCAGAAAGTTATTGGTGGTATATATTTCATCTGTTATGACTAGATATGACATACCTTTCTCGCTCGATCGTAGATGTCGGCTTCAGTGAGTGAGGTATCGTTCAGCTCCGCCTCGTCAGCTTCCCCTACAGGTTTGTCAGCGATTTCATGATTCGGATTGATCTCCGAAGCAGTGGATGCAGTTTTTACATGAAATCGATGGTCCCTGCCCCGGCGGGGCCTGTGGTGGTACTTGAAAAATGGATAGAGGTCAGTACGCTGTAAATGTCCAATTTGATAATTCCCATGGTAACGAACATGTTCCGCCTAGTAAAAAAACAACGGATATCAACAACTTGAAATAAAACAAGATAATTCGGAGAATAACAGTTCCTCTTCCCCTAGCTCGGCTCACCAAGGTGAATCCATACATCAAGTTTGAAGGCCTAATGATTAGTTGTGTAGGATGTTTTGACCGGACATGTATTTTTTCTGATGTAGGTTATAGGTTAAAATGTACATTATAGGTCAGAGTGATCTACATTTGATACGCAACACCAAGCTGAACCTTTATCCTGTAAAATCAATAACCATGTTCTTCGATGAGGGCCAAAAATTAAAATGTCGATCAAACTGATCTACTTTTGACAGGCAAGACACTTACTCACCAAGGTGAACCCAAAGTATTTAGTTCTCGTAGCTAGTAGTTTAGGAGATAGGCCTCAGACAACATTTCTTCTGATTGGGATGCAGGTCTCAATGAACGATATGAATTATCGAATTATACATATAATGTAAAATATACATGTATTATTAATGACATTGTGTTTCATACGATGACCGTGTCAACCTATTAAATGAGGATACTTTAAAGTGTATAACGTAGCACACTATTCAATATATGGAAATACTTGGTTAAGTTACTATGACTTACCTCACTTTTATCAGAGAGCGCCGTCATGGGTTTGGGAACATGGCCTGTTCTACCATTTCTCCAGCGTCCATCATTTTCTCTACTTTTATTGGCAGTTGTGTTGTTATTTCGCCCAGTTGCTGGCGTTTTTTTCTCTTCTTTCGTCTTTGTCGCTTCATCTTCTACATTTTTTGATTTCTTGGAGGTTTCATTTCCCATCACAATTCAATCTAATCAAGAAAATAAAAAATAAAAAGCAGATGTACCAAAACATTTTAGTGGTACCACCCAGGTGAGTTTTTATGACATTAAAATTCCGATTTAAACTAGTTATTCCGTCCTTGTGAATGATAAAGACATTCAATACAAAAACATTGTTAGTCATTCTAGTATAGCAACCGGTAATGATAACACATTTTCAACAAATTTAGAACTCACCCGTTTTTAATTTCTAATCATGCATTGTATCCAATCTATTTCAGTTCCAGTTCTTTCAGAAACACAAAGTAAAATAGAAATCGTCTGAGGACATATACTCCGGTCAAATAATAAAAATTCTGTCAGAGATCAAAAAACACGTACGAGACGAAAAATCTGGTCCCAAGCCAAATTATCAGTAGCATATCTAGTATATTCATTAAATAGTATTACCATGTACATCAATACTAAATGTCTGTCCACAACTGTTTAGCATTTGTACCGATAATTCAAAGTCCTTTTCTTAAAGTGTTATATACAGTAAATACATAAATTCCTTACCTGAACAGGACCATGGTATTCTCTAACCACAAGCTGGCTAATAGTCCAAAGCTCAGTCGTCTGGTAAAACAGGATCTCCTTGTTTGGAAAGTTCGAGCTTCCTTGTTTGCAATATCCGAGTATTTTTTATCTTGTGTTGTTCACTTTTGCCAATACAGAAAATATATTTTGAATTTGCTATTTCACCCTGTGAACACTTGTTTCCATAGCTGATGTTGACGCTAATTTACCGTAAGGAAATCATTAAGTCAACAGTATTTCTATGGACTGCTCGTCCCCTTGTAAACAGTCACGGCGATTCATTATAAATTCCTTCTCTTTCATTACGTTCAATTCATGTGTACCTAGTGTGATTTAACGAGTATTTTGAAAGCGATACGAACTGAGCATTCATGAAGTATATGGTTTACGTTAGGGATAAAGGAAAATTGTGTCTATACAGTACTACCACAATTCATGGTAAAGGTCGACCACAATACAATATATTCAGGCATCTTGTATCACTTCTACAGTATGCATAGGTATAATACTAAGGTACAAAAACCGTATAAATAGCTCACTATTCCAATCGACATGTTCACGGTAGTACAGAAAGCTGATATTTAATCTGTCGACGAAAACTTAATCAGTTATAAATATCGTAATAGTTTCAGTCCTAAGAGGTATACTATAGTTTCGACTGTTAGACTGATTCGTAAGAAAAGGACTCTATCCTAAAACAAGTAAATTGTAATGTTTAGTATAACCGTGTACATTATAGTAGTTTATTTACAATTTAAAAAATACTGTATTGAAATACATATGCGTATGTCCTTCTTTTCAAACACGTCACCAGCCGTTGCATTTTTGCCTTTACAGGAAGTGTAATTTTTTCTTGTTATTTACGTATTTGGTCTATTATCATCGGATCAGATTTAAATTTACAATTTTCAATTTCTACATTTCCATTGCTGTTTTGGCCAATTTCATTTCCCTCTTTTTATCTAATTTCTCTTCAGGAATGCTAAAGATTAAGACCTTTATGTTTTAATAACGATCTCTAAGAGGACGAACTATCAGTATTTTTCGGTATAAGACGTAGTTCTTTAAAACTAGAATATAAATATCATATTCACATCAATTATGTTCAGACCTTCAGAACTTTTTTCTTTTTCCCTTGAGAAGTGTATAAATGTACAAATGAAAGAGGCGATATCGATTAAATGAGTTTGAGTAGCGCCGTATTTATATATAAGGTGAGCTTGTGACCATGTAATCTTATGTTGTTGTTGGTAGGGCTATCACCGTAAATGAGTCTAGTATACAAAGTATTACATCGGTGTTACTTAATCAGCTTCTAAGCTATACATTCCGTTATTGTATATGAGTAAGATATTCAAACACATGACAGAATATATAGGCTACCTGATACGCTCCAATTGGTCATGGTTTTAGAAAGATATGAATGCTTCTATTAGAAATAGCGCTGCCATTGTCACGAAGCACGTCTTTCTTATTTCTGCTTTATTCTCCAGTAACCGGAAAAAACTGCATTTCCGCATGTGCATTGATTCTTTACGTGAATAATAAAAAACCGTTAAAAGTGTTTTTGCTTGGTGTTTTGAAAATCTTCAAAAAAGACCCATGAAATTGCTGCTATTAGATCAAACATCGTGGCGAACGTCATCAGAGCAAAGAGCTATTAAGGATTTAATCGTCTGAATATAGAAAAATATCAGATTATAATTCAGCTCGCGACAGAAAGCGGTTTGCCACTTACGTCTTTCTTTACTCTCACTAGATTACAGCTTTAATTACTCCCCATTACGCAGATTCAATAAAACTAGGACAAAATATGGACAAAAAACTTTACTAGGAGACTCTGAAAAAGAACAAGTGGAATAAGACCAAGAGTTCCTGCTTCATCGACACCGCCGTCAAATGAGAACGAGGTTATACAACAACGGAACTAACAGGCAAATTAACGGACAGCTTCGTATCGCACAAAGAAATAGAAAATTCGTCAATGAGATCACTACGACAGCTGTAAAAATTCCCTAGGACTTTGATCTGCCTGCAACATTTGAAACCATGTTATAAGTGTTTCAGTCAGCTTCTGGCACCTGGCCGCGACAAACCAGTCTTTTAAAATATTAACCGTAATCCCCCGTGTATATTCCATGGCCACACTATGATTTACATCCGGGCATGTCTTTCCCGAGCTAGATGGTTCCTTTACAAACCTTCACTCTAGTAATCTTGTGTTAACTACATTCTGAGTAGTCGTCACTGCTCTGAATGAGGCATAGTGAGACTTGAACGGTTAGTATTAATGACAGCTGATAATACTTTACCGTTTTCATAATTTAGCTGATAAATGTATGTTGTATCTCATAACGACTTGGTCTTTTAATTATCACGAATTGCACTGCAAATGAGTGTTAAAAGTGGATAGACATCACACAAAATATATAATGATCCAATGAAAAAAGGAAAACAAAAAATACACAAATTAGACGTAACCTAAACATTAGTAAGTTCTGAAATATATTTACATTCTTTCAATATTGCAATTAAACAAAGATAATCAAAGTACTGAAAGTACTGAACGTATTGAAAAATGTTCACAAATAACCGCAAAGCTATATTACTTTCCCAATACTCCTACACTTTGGAATGCAATTACTAAAATAAGAGAACCAGAGGCTATTTTTCTTAATTTTAAGCGATTTTATATCTTCTTTGATTCTTATTTCAAATTTGACGACAATAATGTGAACAAATCAAAATAGGTTAAAAAAAAAATAACAAAGTACACACAACCATATATTTATAGCCAACAAGCCAAATGATAACTAGCTCTATGATGAAGTTGACTAAATAAAACCTTTGAAATACCCAAGATGTTGCAATTACTATCCTACAATATGAGGATTTAGACAAATCGAAAGGACTTTATACCTACTTCTTTATTTTGAATGTATTGCAAAGTAATAGTCCTTACTTATTGTGATTATATTTGTAGTTGAGGAAAGTAGATAAGGTGTTCACAGCATTTCAGATAGATTAAAGTGTAAGTAATTACATTAGATGTATTTACATGCCTATCTTCCTTGAAGTATCATGGTTAGACTTTTCTTCCAGTAATTATGTCTATAAAGACATAGTTCTTTGAGATTAAACCAGACTTTTACATATATGCAAAATTTACGATATTTTCACTATAGCTACTACTATTTCTGATCTCCAATGCATTAGATTAAATATGTTATGGAAATATTTCGTTCTAGATAATTGATAATTATAAACATGAATATTTGGGTTTTTTTATACGCGCTTTGTTTGAAGGAATATTTTCATTTCAAGGAACTTTGATACACATTAACAAACCTTGAGAAATCAGCACAATCAACCTTCATCAAATAAAACTAAAAGACAAAAAATATAAGTTATAACAGAGTCAACACCATGATCAGTACAGTATTAAAAATATATTATTCATAAACCATGACCACCAAATGTACCTTGCCTATGAAGCGCAAACTTTTTATCTTCAAAAACTTGAAAAAAGTTTCATGGCGGTGGGTGTGAAAAACATGAAAAAGTGTCATATCGGCGGGTGTGCGCGTGGGACGAACAGTCCAATTCGGTGACGTCTAATGAGGTAAAGTGATGTTATATCTGAAGACGATCTTGCCACAACGACAAGGATTAAAACAAAATTGATGTTCTGTTTGTAAGTTTTGTTTGTTTATAAGTGCTGTTAGTTGATAATTCAAACCAAGCCCCCAGACTAGCTTCTTATCAACTCGCACGTACAGTGTTCTGTACGCTTACATAGTGTGCTTCATTTTTGAAATATATAGTAATCGTATTGTTATTTAAAAAATAAACTAATTTTGGATGCTTTTAAAATAGCGATTTGAAAGATCGCGGCATTATTTACGCAGAAAATTGCCGCTAGAGGGCTCTAACTCTTCTCGATATTTCAGCCAATGAGAAGGCCAGGATCGGTAAATTTTGTCTGAAAGGCCGTCGCAATAGGCTATGCGTACTGAGTACGTTTAGCCTAAAAAGGATGTAAACAAGTGTTGTTAGCGAAAATCGTATCACGCTAGCTTAAGTGAAGAAAGGGAGGCAACTGCATCAAACTTACAAACAAGAACATGTTATTCATTTGTTTTTATTTTTATTTTTTTTTTATTTTTGTTTCTTGTTTTTTGTGGGTTTTATTCAAATATGCATAAATATCAAAATATCCTCCGAAATACCATGTGTTGTTTATCGACCCATCAACGCCCACAAACTAATGAAATCCTTTCCGTACAGTTTAATGTAGAAAAACTCTTTCTGTTATTCATAACGAGCTGCTTTACAACAGCATAGGCAAATATTGTTATACCTGATCAATTACACACTATATCTCTTGTGATAGTATTCAAATAGATCTTTTATTAGCAGAACTGATATTTCACAAAAATGAATTAAACATTAGTATTTTTTTTCAAATTATCATCTACAAAGATAGACTTTTTCGTTATTCACCCTTCAATTGAATGTCGAATTAAAAAAATGTTCCTGTTTCATTTCTCGCATCACCTAATCGTAACAATGAGAAGTACTATAGCGTGTATCACATGAACAAATATATGGAGCAAATAGTAGTTTCATACTGAAAGGTACAAACATGCAAAAAATAAAACGCAATCAATTCTGGTGTAGGTCATCTGTAGAAAGCTTTCTTCATCAGATGACAATATATGGTGATTTCTGAGTATATCCTTAGATGTCGAAATAACAGATATTCTTATCGTACAATGGATGGGTTTAAGAGTACTATTGTCTGGTTATGCTGTGTTCTCCGTGCTATGTAATATGACAGGTTTATCACCATTTTAAACAATTATTTCGAACAATTATATAAACTACTGATTAATAATGATTTTTATTCATCTGACAGATGTTATTACAAAACATAACACCCACAACTAAACATGTAATTTCCTATATAAATAAACCTGCATTTGCCAACAATGAAAGTATTATTGTCGAGTTGGGGGGTATTTGTCCTTAATATTTTATTCATAGAGATTAATTACTGATGTGGTTATTAAACTGTTTATGATCTGGATATTACGTATAATACATTAGATTGTAGTTAACTATTAATGCAAGTTGCTGCTGCTAGATAATCACTTTGGTATTCACATTGCTTAAAGTCTTGGTTTGTTTGTATACTGTCTATTAGGATCAAACAGATTGGTTAAGGTTCGCACAATCTGTACATACACAAGATAAGGTTTGAATAGTGGACTGACACGTGGTAGCTTCTGTAATTTGTTTAAATCAATGCGCATTATAATGGTAATTCTGAATGGTAGACGTATTTTCGATAGCCCATCATCACAGTTTATGAATATTTTTAACAGTTATTAAGATTCACATTTGTACATATAATGACTGTTGCCAAATTGCTATTGTATTGGAATCATTACAATCAAATTATTACGATATTTCAATGTTTGAATTAATTCCAAGGATCGTCATCTTCTTTGTCTATGGTAATAGCTCTTCTGTATCCTATCGTATTAAAAGGAGCTATTCGCTTGTGTCTTTGGTACAATCTTAAAACCGTCAGATCCACCTTATGTTTCTAGGTCTTTGTTGACTAACACAAGTTCATTTATTCTTTGGCAGAAATCCTTAGTTACTGGTTACAAAGAATTTATCTGAGTCCGTTATAAGAACATAGAAATAGTGTATGTATCTGCATAAACAACATGGGTATAGCATGTTGAATTGAAACTATAGCAGATAAATTCATAAAAATACTTTGCAGAAAACATTCAGCCTCCACGAATCATATCAGCTACTTTCTCTCCGATCATTATCGCTGGAGCGTTTGTATTTCCTGAAGGCACATTTCTCATCACAGAAGCATCGGCAACACGCAGACCAAATATTCCTTTGACCCTATATAACATAAATTGTTATTAAAATTATTTTGATATTTGGTAAGTTTAAATTGAGCAAACATATTTTGAATCGTTTTCTTCATATTTAATATCATTAGTTATAATTGGTATACGAAAAAATAAGCGAATGTTGCTACAAAATGCGAACATATCACCTTACTTAATGGACATACCTGAGCTGGGGGTCCAATACAGCTGATGGGTCATCTTTATTCCCCATTCTGCATGTGGATGTTGGATGGTACACTGTCAGTGTGAAATGCCTCACATAACATTCCCAGAATCTGTCCGACCGGAAATCATATTGGGAACACAGTTTATGGAACGGAGACGGATAGCTGACATCTGTTCCTATAGATCTGAATGTATCTGTGTCGATCAGCTTTTCCACGAATCTTATAGCTGCGAAAAAAGATTGAAAACATCTTTTATGGATCTATTTACCGGAGAAAATATTGTGTTTAGTATTGTTTATTGAATCATCATATTGTGTTTAATAAAGTACAAAAGTTCGCTCTTGGTTGATGATATTCAGTAGTAACATTTCAATAGAAAGTTTAATGAATTGTAATATCCTACATTGAATGGCAAGCTGTACATCATCCGGGTCCTCCAGGTAATGCGGGTCAATATGAGGATAATCAAAAGGATCCCTGCTTTGCAGTCTGATTGTTCCTTTACTTTTAGGATGGAGGATTGTCGGGCTAAACACAATTGTTCGGACTTTATCAGTCTCAGTATACAGCTGGTCCTTTACCTGTAATAACGTACCGAGCACAATCAGAAAACAAAAACACTGGTTTATATTTTTTCAATTAATATTGATAAAAACGGTTGCTACATGCATGACAGTATTACTATTTTGCTGACAAGACGTTAACTTTTGACCAATATCAATTTGTCGAGGACTTAAAGAGTAAAGAAGCAATTAAACGAAGCTTTATTAGCACGGTATGGTCAGGCAGCATAAGTAAGTATATCATTACAAAATTATGCTGAATATTCTACCCTAGAGTATATGAAACATATTGGTTCTTAATGAAAAGGCTATCCAACTTCTTGATATTCCTTGTATTCAAATTGTATCTAATGAAGACATTAAAACGTCTTAAACTGGCTGATGTTGTCATAGTACATTCTACACGAGGGTATACCAATGTTAGCCAGGACATCGCAATATCTGTTTAAACATCCTCGATACTCCAGACATTACGCTCACTATCGCTCTCTGCACCCCCTGGAACATTCCATGTCAAAATTGATGTGTCCATGTGCGACACCTTGTGAATAAGACTACAAGACTAATTTGATCCTTTGATATATATCAAACGAATTATAAGGTCGCAAAAAGTTTAATTTTACTGGCTTTGAAGTTGGGTATCGCTTATCATTCTACGATTGGCCAGGGTTTTCTCCCACAACCCACTCTAGACCGATCAAATTACTTCGCTTGTGCCTTCAGTTTTGCAAGGAAATGTTCCAGGGATGCAGCGAGCGAAAGTGATCGTAAACTCTGGAGTAACGGGAATATTCTTTAGAAAGCATAGGGAATATACTGCATGCCACGTTTTAATTATTTCGAATAGTGGCACAGTTCAGAACACAAAAATATCAGATATATGTATATTTGAATTTGTATTAAAATATACTTTTCACTTATGTGTCTTAATGATTTTCAATCGTTACATAACAAGGCTCTTACGTCATCTATTTCTGACGTCATTACGGCAAAGGGCAGTGAGTGCACTCACACGATACTACAGGATAGTCATCTCTCCTTTGCTTATTGCTAATACCAGCGCTCAACTCAATGTAACTTATATATCAAGCTTAGGTGCATAATTGCTTTAAGTAAGTATTTTTTTCAAGTAAACAGAGAAAAATTACTTACTTCTTCCTTATAGTTGACAGGAAAGAAATTTTTCATGTCAGGTGTCGAACCATGGGCACTGAATGTGTGCAATTGGATGTCTGCATTTTCTCCGGAATCTTTCTTCTTACTGAAATCTCTGTACAAGAATGCCATTGCCTCCAGGGCGGTGGCGGACCATGGACCTTGGAAAATATTTGTGATGAATCTAACCAAATCGTTAACAAAAAGTATTCCAACAGTTTATTTTCAATGTGTTCGTTTACTTTCAGCTTTCGATTTTGTTTTGTTTTCGTAATTTGACTTCTATATTTCAAAATTAAGGTCCTTTTGACTTCTGACAAGTCCCAGAGAGACGAATAACTGTAGAAGTTTAATTAATAATTTGGCCCTGTAGCTAAATTGAAAATTGTATTGAAAGATGTTATTCACGGGAGTCTTTTGTACAAACATACAATGTAACGGTCACTGACTTGTCAATAAAAGCATATGCTGCCCAGGATAATGTCATTAATTTTGTACTATAAACCAACCTGTTCCGAAGTATTCGTACTGTTTTGTTGCCTAAGATGAATCAGACACTCGGGCCTTTAAGGGCACTGTTACCGATGTTTTGTACTATAAACCAACCTGTTCCGAAGTATTCGTACTGTTTTGTTGCCCATGATGACATCATTAACTCGGCTGTTAAGGGCCCTGTTATATTAATTCTATACATTATAGGTATCATGAAGTGGTCCTGTAGATTTTCTCCAACTGGAAGGTCAGCAAGCACAGGAATCTGTTGTAACGTTACGATTATTAAATAAAATCATCGTTCTAGCAATAGTATAGTTTACACAAATAGCACACCGATTGGTATTCACCGTCTTAATAAATAAAACTAAGTAATTTTGAATCTTAAAATCTGAAACTGTATGTAATGGATAACCAATGACGAAAACCATCATCAAGTAAATAATTTGCCTAGTTTAGACAACGTTTTCACAGTATGGTTTTGAATACCCTACTGCAAACACAAGGGGAAATTAGAGATAGATACATAACTAATGAATGTCAACCTCATGTGCACCATGATATTAGAAATACTACGTTTGGACAACACGAATTATGTTAAAGGCTGCCATCGAAATTCATTTTTCCAAACTGTCATTATGGTTATGTAGAACGGAATTTATTTTAGATAGTTTTAGCTATGAAAATCGTCTCAGGTTTGCTTATCTCCATATGTCTTTGTTGAATTTGATTAATCATGTTCTGTAAACTTATTATTTAACAACTTTTCATATCAGACTTTCTCTTCGATATAAGGACCAGGTGTTGAATTACACTGGGATTTTATAGGTGTACCCCATTTATGTTGTTCAAAATGAATGAAATTTATAGAATGCAACTTGACCTTAATTACTTAGAGTGCTTCTTTAACTCAACACCGGAAAGCATTACTAATTGCGGGCAATTGAACAGCAAAATCATCCACATATGTCGAAGGACGCAACAACAGTAGAATACAATTTAATACATTTTTCGGCTCTACTGCGTGTTGATTCTAAATTTGTATTGAATGATACTGTGCAATTGTTTGTCTTCTATCCAACCCCAAAGGTGATTCGTTCACTCAATATAGGACAGCATGAGTAGAACTGACGAGTTGTACATATTTACATACCCCTAATTCCTGAAGGTGTTTCTTTGGCCCAACACCGGACAACATCAGTAATTGTGGCGTGTTGACGGCACCAGCAGACAATATCACTTCCTTCCTGGCATACACTTGAAATTTCTTCCCATTCCTTATGCACTCTACGCCAATAGCTTTATTGTTTTTTATTATCACCTTGAAAAGTATCAAAAATATAATTGATTTGAATATGTTATAATGAAAATGTGTGACATCATCAAATTACAAAAGATATTTTGTTTTCATAACGATACAGAAGTTATTAAAATCTGATTTTCGCCTTAAGCTTAAGTAGTCATCTATCAACTAATGATACGATCTATTTCACGCATTTGTGTCTGACATAAAGAGTTAATAAACTGGTAATGTCATATTATGTCTTGTTTCCAGTTGTTTATTGATATAGTCAACGTCCATCGAAGGTTCTCAGGCTAAGACTAGATAAGTCCAATGTTATTACAGTATCCTATTGTTAATCGCGTCGTTCATAGACTGGCGGAACTGACACCTACATGTACCTACGTCATACACAAGTCTATACCAGTCTATTTTTGACTGTTGACAAAGGGACTAAAGAGATAAATATAAAGAAAACTTAATCTACACTAGTTGACAAAATCTCGCTTCTTTCGTACATTTACGTAGTGTATACGAGTCTCATTTAAAACATGTTCCTGTATTTTATCTATATTGTTCATGCCATGTGCCATTAACTGTTTTCTCTTCGTCATATCTCAAACCACTCTATGTTAAACCTGATTTGTCCTATTTTCATCAACTATTAGCAAGAATGATATTGCTTTTCTGTAAGGAAAAAATACAAATGCAAGGCATCCTATGAAAGAAATATATTTAAACATTCTGTTGATTCGATGACTACTTACCTTCGTGGTGTAGGTATTGAGCCTGACATGGAGATTGGGACGGTCCAGATGTGGTTTGATAAATGACCTGTACGAACTCCATCTCTCCCCATTTTTTATGGTGGACTGCATCCAGCAAAAACCTGACGAAAAGACAGTATTAGTGTCATTGTTATGGAAACTTTAAATGTCGTTTTTTGTTTCCATATCGCTTTGTTTTCATTTACTGATAGTTTAGAAAACAATGTTTTTGCGTTGTTTACTAGTTTTTCATACCGTTAAAAATCACATTTTCCTATCATTTAACAAGAATAACCGAAGCAGATACGGGTTAAAGAGGATAGTGATACGATTTTACACTTCATAGTGATATAGTTGATTACAGGTGTTTACCGGGTGTCTGTTGCTAATTTCGATTGATATAATTAAATAACCTACCTATTTGGTCCTCGCCGTTACAGTCTGATACATTGTAACCCAAATCTCTTCCTGCACGAAGATACAGTTCATGCATAGGCGTGATATTTGGTCGTGTTACTGGCAGAGGGCCACCTTTTCCGTGATAGTCTGCGGAATAGCCATACTATTGCATTGTATTATCATACATGTCCATAGGGTTAGGCGAGGAGGTTCCAAAACAATAAGGGGAAGAAATTCATTCATAAACAACAGGAAACAATGTGATAACACTACCGAGCAGTCAATCATTCCAGCAATATGTATTGCTCTTTGATGACAAGCTTATAAACTTTCCACATTAAAACTTACAGGAAACCCCTTTTTGTTGATAGCGTAGTACTAATATTTTGTAATTTGAATATTTCCGTAGATGACAAAAACCTCTAATCATAGGTATATACCCAATATTACCTGATTGTTTGAATTCGTCAATCTGTATGTCCTCTGACTTGATAAAATAAGGGAGGACATCTTTGTAACTCCAGCCCTCACAACCTTCCTCAGCCCAGCTGTCGTAATCATGGCGATTACCTCTGACATACACCATCCAGTTCAGAGAGCTGCTTCCTCCTAGAACCCGTCCTCGAGGCCAATAACTACGCTGAATGTAAAACGTGTTATAATGTGACAGTCGTATCAACAACATGTGAGCGATCTTTAGAGTTTATATTAATACATTACACTGATTCAGAAAACAGTTATATAATTACAATGACATAATTCCTATAGGTATAGAATTAAGGACGTTTATTTGGTTTATGAACTTTATTGAGGAGAGAAAAATGTTGAGTCTTACATGTGTCAATAAAAACGTTGCAATATTTCATTACGGCAGATAGATGGTTATATGAGGTACATTACAGTAAGATAGACATTTAAAATAATCTTGTGACAAAAATATTATCTTTAAGTATCAAACTTTACATATGAATAAAGCTGTGTACTCTTTCGTTTTAGAAAACTGCTCAATAAGAAATTGTTTACAACGAACAATGGGCTTTTTGTATGTTTTAATGTTTTTAGTAGACTGGATAGCATGGAAACGAAAATTCAAAGTTTTTCTAAACCTGTTCGTTCATGGCAAAACATGCGTGTTTCTGAGGAACTGTATAGTACTCCCAGTCTTCATCAGACTTCATCAACATCGGGGCTGCCCCGGCCTTGTACACGTTGGGGTTAGTTTCGTCAGATCCACCAGCCTCCAGTAACACCACATCATTACCAGGATCCTCAGTCAGACGAGACGCTAACACTGACCCTGAGGATCCAGCTCCCACTGAAAATAATCAATCAATCTTACTGGGCCGAACCTACATCGACGTGGATGTAATCTTAAGATCATTTAAACCTTCTGGAGAACCAACTAGGGGAATATTTATTCTGATTTTGTCGTGAATGTTTCCGCTATTGATAAGAAATTAACGTTGCTTTCTATATTGTTGTTTTACGTCCTATTAACAGCCATGGCCATTTAAGTACGTGTTAGAATCGGGTTCGAGAGGAAAGACGGAGTTGCCTGAAAAAACACCGACGTGTGGCCAGTGACTGGCGAATGCCCTGCGAAGGCCTCAAACCTACGACCAAAAGGTGTTGGGCAAGAGATAAAGACGGTCAGCAGACGCCTTAACCATTCGGTCGCCGCGGTTTAAAAATCTCGCTTACTTAGATTGACTATGCTTTCCATGGCGGATTCCTTCTGAAACATTCGCCCTGTTCTTTTTCATGAGTTTCCGTGTTAATCTTTCTTTTGTTTATATCTTGCCCAAGTCTTATTGAATTTGGGTTATGAACATGTTGAGATGTTGGTAAAGATAAGCAGAATTTTCAGACAAGTTTGACAATGGGACCCCATTTGATCACAATTTACAGAATTATGGCCTCTTGCAGTTTTATAACCATGGACCTTGTGGACACGATAACTCGAGTACATATTGGCAAAATTAAATGAAACTTGGCATGCAGCCTTACATCAAGAAGATCTAGAGTGAGTTAAACAATGACAACGATTTGATGTAACCCAGATGTATGGCTCCTTGCTATCTAAGTTCGATTGAGGGTAGTCAGGTAACCATTTAGGCTAATGTGTTATTTTAATAAAAACAATAATGACAATGTTCCAGTTGAGATGCCTCTCGAAACTTCAATTCAAATCGCAAGATTTACTGTATTGAGTGTCAAACTTTTCACCACTTAATTTCATGTCACAAGCAAATATGTAGTCTGAAATGTTACTCATGGCAAACTCTTCTTGTACCGCCCTTTTACTGAAGTATTTTTAATGTTATGACTCCATGACATGAAATTTTTTTCCAGCTAATACCTATTACGAAGATACTTCGTGCTCTTACATCCGGGTCAACAAGAGCGATAAGTATAAGTGTTTATTGCTTGTTTCACAATTGTTGTAAAACATATAAAGTTTATATTTATATAATTTGTTTAGTTCGAAGAACACTTAAAATAGATATGACCACACTCTTACCTCAGCGGTGTTATTATGCTGTTTAGGATTAAGAATTGCCTTAAACAAATATGAGTTTTGGCAGGAAATGAAATCGAAAATGGGACATACTTCCATGAAATGTCGGCATGCATTGTCCAAAATATTTTGATTTAAATGGTTACGGCCCTTTGCTGTTATATTACCATTACTTCTTGTTAACACAATAACATGAGTACAGATGAACAGACATGATATTTAGCCATACCGATGATGTAGTCATATGATGTTTCCAGTTTTGACCCATCACCTCTTCTGACCGTCTTTACTGCAGATTGGAAATACATATATCCAATAACACCAACTACGATAGCCATGAGCAGTTTCTCCATTTCTGCAACAAACCACGAATATGTTTACGTTTATCATGAAGATGAAATCCTATCTATGAATATTCACCAGTATCATCAAGAAGTGTTGTGTTTTATACGTAGAGATAATGTGGACACTTTCATCCTAACACTCGTTATGCCTACATACTTATCAAATGTTATCATCTTTTCATTCATACGTACCAATATATATATAAGTACATTCACTAACACATACCATCATGTATATACAAGCGTATTCACAAACGCATACAACTATATTTATACAAGCTCATTCACACACACACACATACCACCATGTATATACAACACATATATCACCATATATATATACAACACAGATATCACCATACATATACAACACAGACATCACCATATATATATATTTACAACACAGATATCATTACATTTAATATCACTACCTCCTTTTAATATATTATTCTCACATCTCCCCGTTATAGAATAAGTAATATGTTCCACAATTTTAGGCTGTTTTTATATTGAAAAATGACTGTAGTAGAGAAAATGCTATAATCCTTACCATCAGCCTGGTACCTCCCTAGTGGCGTCCCTCTTCGGCAGAGGCGTACCAATCGATAATGTAACCGGAACAAAGTTCGTTTTGTATTGATTTTTAAATAACGAGAAAGATACGAGTATAAATCCCTTAACTGACCTTGTATATTACATACATACATGTACATACACAGACGTACTTGAAGTAACTATTTTTATCATGGTCCACTTTTTTTCTATCTATACAAGTGCTGACAAGGCAAATATATTGTCGTGCTATTTTAACAGCAGGAAGATTAAATATTATAAGCACATTGACGACAAACCTTTGGGTATTTTGTATTATATAATCTCCATACATGCATCCACATGATATAACACGCAAAATACAAAATGACTGACTACTTGCAAACGTAAGATGTGCATATCACCGCTTGACTACCGTTCTAACTTCATTCTCCCTATATGTTGGCCTCGATAGCTGAATTGCTAGCGTGTAAGACCTTAGTGATGGTTAACAGACTCGGGAGCTAAGAAAAAAACCCGTCCGATCGCCTCAAAATCCAAAAGACAAATGAAGAAAAAATATTTATAATAAATTTCCAAAATCTCAATTAACCAATAAAATTACATGATTTCTATCGATGATTTCGGAGAGTATAATTACGGGCTTGAAACAAACAAAAATCACTGGCGTTCGTCGATGAGACGATACCCGAACACGGGAGGAGCTACGGTGATGGAAAACCTGTCAACCAAACACACAAAACTCATTCTCGAGCAACCATCAGGAGGAATAGAATCTGCTAACAAGATAAAAAATAATGAACAGCTGTAGAAAAGAATCACCATAGGATGGGGAAGAGAAAGTTAACAGTAGACACAGGTGGAGGAAAGTGGTCCTGTCAACATTGTGGTAAATAATTTGAGCATAAAAAGACTTTGAATAAACATCTCAGTGAAAACGGTTACAAAAAATGGAATTGCGATATATGCCACAAAAACTTCACGACGACAGATCGGCTTACTCGACATAAGAAGGTGGACGGGGAACCTATTAATACAGGCGTTCAGCTTGAGCTCCTCACCGACATCGATGTACATTTGTTTATAGGGAAGGGTCTACGTGGTGGTATTTCAGTGATCATCCATCGTCATGCCGAAGCTAACAATCCTTATGTCTTTGGGTATGACCCAACAATAAAGGACGCAAATAATATAGATGGGTGTGCAATGTCACAAACCCTGCCAGTTCACTCACGACTTGATTAAGCGATCAAGAAAAATGCGCCATTGACTGCATGGGTATTTCGGAAGATTCTTCAGAGGGTTATATTCTAGAGGTAAATCTTGATTATCCCTATGGTCTCCATGATCTCTACAACGACTACCCATTGGCCCCTGAACGAATGCGGGCAATAATTCTAAGTTGTGACCATATGCTTCCAAAATTTCTAAATACCTAGAAATAAAAAGGCATATCGACTGAAAAGCTGCTCGTTCCCAATTTGAATCCCAAATAGAAAGATATTTGCACTGCCGCAATCTGAAAAATACCTTTCATTAGGTATGAAATTGACCAAAGTCCACCAGCTTCCTCTACAACTACGTCAAGTCATAGTACGGATCCAACGCTACACTAGTTTTCACTGATACGTACTCATTGACATACGTCTTACACACGAATGACATTTACGATGACATCCCGCAGGATCACCACCTTTTTGATACATCAGAGAGTACACCCTCTCTACAACGAATAAAAAGGTATTGGGAAAGATGAAGGACGAAACGCACGGAAACGACATGCATGCTTTTATAGAATTAAAATCTAAAATGAATGCTTACATCTACGACAAAACATTTACGAAATATGTAGACGGAAAGCGCGTGAAAAGCACTACTGGTGTCGGGACACAAGGGATAAAGAAAAGCGTTATAAAGAATCAAACCAACTACCAACAATATAAGTAGTGCCTCTTTGATTGGACTCTACATATGTCAGAGATGACACAAATAAGGAGTTACGACCACCAGCTATACAATATCAATATGAAAAAAATTGGATTGTCACCATTCAACGACAAGTGTTATATGTTCGATGATGGAATCACCAGCTATGCATACAGACAATGGTGGATACCAAATAGGAGAGAACACTATCCTGGAAAGGTCCATTTTTGAACTCCATGTTATTGGAAATAACGTACATAAACATAGGTCGTTATTGTACTGTAACATGGGTTGTAGATGGTTCTCGTGTAGTTGTAAATATATAATGTCCACGATAGAGTAGGATTAATATTGACATTATGTCAGATTTAAAAACTATTGATAAATATCATAAAATTTCATGCACTAGCCACTGTTTTGAGTTTCATTTTTCCCCATAATGCATTGATCATCACGACGGGACGGAGAGACAGAGAGAGAGACAGAGACAGAGAGAGACAGAGAGAGACAGACAGGGAGAGAGAGAGACAGCAAAAAGCAGAGAGACAGTGAGAGACAGAGACAAAGAGAGGCAGAGAGAGACAGAGACAGAGAGAGAAACAGAGAGAGAGAGAGAGAGAGATGCTATATCAGTAAGCCACTTACTGACTTATATATGCTATATCATATAAAGCGCCACATCTACTGATATATGCTATATCAGAGTCGTAATGCGCCATCTACTTACTGATATATGTTATATCATAGTCGTAATGCGCCATTTACTTACTGATATATGCTATATCATAGTCGTAATGCGCCACTTACTTACTGATATATGCCACTTACTTACTGATATATGCTATATCATAGTCGTAATGCGCCACTTACTTACTGATATATGCTATATCATAGTCGTAATGCGCCACTTACTTACTGATATATGCTATATCATAGTCGTAATGCGCCACTTACTTCATGATATATGCTACATCATAGTCGTAATGCGCCACTTTCTTACTGATATATGCTATATCATAGTCGTAATGCGCCATCTACTTACTGGTATATGTTATATCATAGTCGTAATGCGCCATTTACTTACTGATATATGCTATATCATAGCCGTAATGCGCCACTTACTTACTGATATATGCTATATCATAGTCGTAATGCGCCACTTACTTACTGATATATGCTATATCATGGTCATAATGCGCCACTTACTTACTGATATATGCTATATCATAGTCGTAATGCCACATCTACTTACTGATATATGCTATATCATAGCCTTAATGCGCCATCTACTTGCTGATATATGCTATATTATAGCCGTAATGCGCCACTTACTTACTGATATATGCTATATTATAGCCGTAATGCGCCACTTACTTACTGATATATGCTATATCATAGCCGTAATGCGCCACTTACTGACTTATATATGCTATATCATAGTCGTAATGCGCCATCTACTTACTGGTATATGTTATATCATAGTCGTAATGCGCCATTTACTTACTGATATATGCTACATCATAGTCGTAATGCGCCACTTTCTTACCGATATATGCTATATCATAGCCGTAATGCGCCACTAACTTACTGATATATGCTATATCATAATCGTAATGCGCCACTTACTTACTGATATATGCTATATCATAGTCATAATGCGCCACTTACTTACTGATATATGCTATATCATAGTCGTAATGCCACATCTACTTACTGATATATGCTATATCATAGCCTTAATGCGCCATCTACTTGCTGATATATGCTATATCATAGCCGTAAAGCGCCACTGACATACTGATATATGCTATATCAGAGTCGTAATGCGCCATCTACTTACTGGTATATGTTATATCATAGAAGTAATGCGCCATTTACTTACTGATATATGCTACATCATAGTCGTAATGCGCCACTTTCTTACTGATATATGCTATATCATAGCCGTAATGCGCCACTTACTTACTGATATATGCTATATCATAGTCGTAATGCGCCACTTACTTACTGATATATGCTATATCATAGTCGTAATGCCACATCTACTTACTGATATATGCTATATCATAGCCTTAATGCGCCATCTACTTGCTGATATATGCTATATCATAGCCGTAATGCGCCACTTACTTACTGATATATGCTATATCATAGCCGTAATGCGCCACTTACTGACTTATATATGCTATATCATAGTCGTAAAGCGCCACTGACATACTGATATATGCTATATCAGAGTCGTAATGCGCCATCTACTTACTGGTATATGTTATATCATAGTCGTAATGCGCCATTTACTTACTGATATACTGATATATGCTACATCATAGTCGTAATGCGCCACTTTCTTACTGATATATGCTATATCATAGCCGTAATGCGCCACTTACTTACTGATATATGCTATATCATAGTCGTAATGCGCCACTTACTTACTGATATATGCTATATCATAGTCGTAATGCGCCACTTACTTACTGATATATGCTATATCATAGTCGTAATGCCACATCTACTTACTGATATATGCTATATTATAGCCTTAATGCGCCATCTACTTACTGATATATGCTATATCATAGTCGTAATGCGCCACTTACTTACTGATATATGCTATATCATAGTCGTAATGCGCCACTTACTTACTGATATATGCTATATCATAGTCGTAATGCGCCATCTACTTACTGATATATGCTATATCAGAGTCGTAATGCGCCATCTACTTACTGGTATATGTTATATCATAGTCGTAATGCGCCGCTTTCTTACTGATATATGCTATATCATAGCCGTAATGCGCCACTTACTTACTGATATATGCTATATCATAGTCGTAATGCGCCACTTACTTACTGATATATGCTATATCATAGTCGTAATGCCACATCTACTTACTGATATATGCTATATTATAGCCTTAATGCGCCACTTACTTACTGATATATGCTACATCATAGTCGTAATGCGCCACTTTCTTACTGATATATGCTATATCATAGTCGTAATGCCCCACTTACTTACTGATATATGTTATATCATAGTCGTGATGCGCCATCTACTTACTGATATATGCTATATCATAGTCGTAATGCGCCACCTACTTACTGATATATGCTATATCATAGTCATAA